TGCCAAGGAAAGGGAATTTGCACACTTGCTACCAGCAACCCCATCCATGGACGTCTGCAGCGCTGCTCCGCTCCCAGGAGAAAGGCACGGGTGAAGGAGAGGTGGCTCAGCCGCGCATCCTGTCTGGGAGCAGGGACCATCCTTCCGAGGGCAGGTACTATTTTGAAGAACAGTCCTCAACGAGCTGAATGGCCTTCCTCCCTCCCTCCCCTGAAAGCACCCAGTGTTCCTCAAACCCAGGGATGGGAACCAGACCTAACTGAGCAGTAACAGAGTAACACTTCAGCTTCAAAAGCAGCCTTTTGCGCACAAGAGATTTCTTACGGCTGGAAACCAGAGGATGGCCACTTCTCCCCCCAGGGATGCAGCCGGCAGCCGGCTGCCCCACAGATAGATGGCAGGGATGGATGGCTGCACACCAGCGCTGCCGTGCAGGGCTCTGGCTGCTGCCCTGTGTCAGCAGCTGCGTGAGTGCCGGAGGGCTTCCTGCAGCCCCTGCGAACAGGGCATTTTGCACCACAGCGGGAACGGGTCCTGCTTGCAGATGTTGCTGTCCTTGTGAGAGGCACTAAGCTTTCCCATCACAGCTTTTGCGATTGAGGTACAGGTGGCTTTAAGATAACTTCATCTCATTTCTCTGTCCGCTGCCTTTCCCTGTTCTGGAAGGGGGGTTTTAATAATTGAATGCACAATGCATCAAAAAAGGACAAGGACAGCTTGGGCACAGAAATAGCCTTTTCCTCAGAGAAACAGCAAGCCTGAGTCTCTCCCAGCTTTCTGTGAAGGATAAACATGAGGGAAGTAGCTCAGCTTCTAAACATCTGCATTTCGAAAACATTTCTAAACATCTGCATTTTGAAAGTCCAGACCAAGATCCCCAGGCAAATGTGATTAAGGCTTGTTCCTCCTCTGAAGGGTGCAGATCCCACAGGCCTTTCAGGATGCCCAGCCCCTGCAAGTCTGCGGGTGGCTCTCCCGCTCCCTGGGGCACCTTGCCAGGGCTGCCCTTTCCCACCGCCCCAGGGAAAACCCTTGCTGGCTGGATGAGGAGGGCTGACACACAGGCCTGACTGGCTCTCCGGAGGTGAGGGGAAACACACCTGTGTGTCACCCCAATGTCTCCCTACAGGCAGCCTCACTGCCCCTGCCCTGGAGCATTCCTCTCCAAGGAGGGCTGCGGCAGCCAGCGCCCCCAGAAAACCCAAGCCCACAAACTTGCAGCGGATGCAAGTTTTTGTTCTGTGTGTTGGCCTTGCTTACGGATTGCAAGAGAAGAGGACGACCATGTGCCTTTGCAGAGAAAAGCAGGCAACAGTTTGAGATGTGGCTCAGCAGCATACTCGGTGAAGAACAAGGGGAGCGTGGCCGAGTCCAGGAACCTGCACAGCTCGCGTTGACTTTAATGTCTTCGATCATGCCGTGGGGTTTCGGGAGCCACCAGAGACCAGGATGTTTTCTCCGGGACACAGGCAGCCAGCTTCTTCAGGCAGATAAGAGTCTTTGCAGTTACCAGGCAGTGCTGCTTTCCTAGATGATCTGAGGCAGCTTCAAGACAGTCATTACAATGGTGACTGGCAGAGGCTTTAACAGCTGTGACACCTTCCAGGAGCGATCCCCAGTTTGGCACCGGCCACTGTTGGCATTAACTACAGCAGGGTGACTGCTGCCTTTGAGGTCTCAGATTAAAGCTTGGGAGAAGAAACTTGAATTGTTGATTTAAAAGAAGATATGACGTTATTTCACATCTTTAGTGTTGACTCTTTTGAGGAGCTAATTCCAATTGTCTGATCAATGAAGCTCATAACACTAATACAATGTTAGCAGCAAGATAGAGAGACACATATGCAATTATTTTGGCTTAACAAGATTTATTTTTATTTCATCTGTTATGACACAATCTAGCAAGCAAGAGATGTGTTACTCACTAGTTGCTTAGATTTTACACTTAATTTACATCTGCCTTCAGCTTGGCACAAAGTGTAGGAAAATAGCGTTTTAAAATACTTTCTTCAGTCAATGAAAGAAAACGTTCAAGATGTGCCAAGTAAGCTCACACCATAAGAAGTACTAATGTCCCTCATCTCCAAATGCTTCTTATAAACAAAAACCACCAGCAGCTACTGAACTGATAATGACCAGAAACTGAGTCTTTCCCAGCTGCAGAAGTGGTACAGCTCACCCCCAAACCTTGCTTCTGTTACCCAGAGGGAGGCCCAAGACAAGCTTTTCTGCTTTTATATCTCAAAAAAATTCCACCTTTCAAGGACTTGGTCACTGAACAGCACAAATAATGATCTGAAGAAAAGGCTCTCTGCTCTTACAGGAGAAATTGCCATCAGAAACTTGTTTAGCATTTTAGCAACCTGCTCCCAGGTGCTCAGCCAGTTACTGGCTCCAGCTCAGCAGTTTGACTTTAAAAGCCTCAGAACAAAGCGTTATTTCTCTAAACACAATCATCTATTGAAGTCTAAGAAGTTGAGACCTTAATAAAGTTACAAAGCTACTCTCTCTGTATTTTAGAGATAATTATAAGGGTAAGAATACATATGCAAGCTTTATACAATCTCATTTTTAACTTATCTTAATGATGGTACATTAAATAGCTAGGAAGGAACAGGTCCGCACTGAGCAGGCAAGGCAGTAAAGGAAATGTAAAGCAGTCATGAAAGCTTTAGCAGATCTACGGTGACCTGGCTGCAGTCCCTGGGGGGCAGGCTGCCAGCTCCCCCTGCACCAGCACACGCCTTTGCTAGTCCACAGCCCCAACCCAGCAGCCAGTTTCTGAAATGGATTTGCTTCCTGAACTGATCCACTACATGGTTACGTGAACACTAGAGCCAGACCAACAGACAGGCTGCAGCCAGAGAAAGAGCTATAGAAGCCCCAGTGCAGACCAGTTTGAAAAGTAAATTGTTTAGTCATTGTTAGGTTGTAGTTGTTAGAAGGAGGGATCTTTCCCCAAACACTAAAACATGCAAACACACATAGAACTCTTCTTTCAGTACGGGGCAAATCAGTCTTGCCCTTGCTGCTCCCAACATGATTTTGCATATTTTTTACAGGGTTATTTTAGATTTTGGGTTTTTTTTGGTTTGGTGTTTTCGTTTGGGGTTTGGTTTTTTTTTTTTCATATTTTATCTTCTTCTAGGTACTAAGGGTGAATCCCAGTAAGACAGCTTCTTCCACGGTTCCTGCACCTATACAGTTTTCCAGTTAATTTGGACGACTGTAGTTTCAAGGCCAGAAGGTACTTCCCATCTATATGTATCAAATTCTAGCAAAAAATGTATCTCACAACAATTGATGGAAGGTAGGGCAACTATTTCAGTTCACCAACAACAAACCTCAAACTGAAGAAGTTAAAGTTATTATGACAAAGGCTCAGTAAATAAACATCAATTCTTCTGCAACTGGTGCCCAATGGAGAGTGCATGTTTAAAAACTCAGACATGAGCATTCCTTCTTATAAGCTCCTCATGTAAACTTATGGATCAATAATTTCATTTACTAAGTACTTTGGCTTGCAGTTTAGAAACTCATCACACAAAAGCATTTGGCAAACATAGAGCAAAATACCACAGCTTAAAGTCTTCAGCACTGGAAAACTAGTAACCAGTTCAAGTCTTTGTATAAGGGATTTTTGGGGTAGACACATTTATAAAAATAAAAAAAAAACCCACAAAAATCTCATGACTCTGCATTTCAACACCTCCACACAAACTGAAACATCCAAACTAGAGCACAGTGAGGTGATGCTCCTGCTCCGGCAGACACGCTGCCTCCAGAAGGGGCATCCCCACTCCTCACCTGCTCCAGCAGATCTTCAGTGGTCGCCCTGGCACTAGCTTGTACGGCAGCAACCAAGTCAACTTGCTAACTGGTCAGAAAACTCGCCCAGCCAAGCGGGAGTTTCTGCTGAGGAGGCTGCACGATGCAGCTCACTATGTGGCCAGGCACGTGCAGAGCCAGGACAAGGGACGGGATGGGAACATGTAGAAGGCAGGAGGAAAGAAGCAGCAGAAAGGGCCGGGCTGTATTATCGACTGCAAACTGTTGCTGTGCACTCAGCATCCTGGAATATTTTGGAAAACTATATGAAACCCAGGAGCATATGCTGTGAAAGCAAATTGCTGGATTTAAACCAGTGTAGTTGCTGATGGTCTACGTACTTTAAAACAGGGAACCCATTCATCGAATGCTTAGCTACTTGCTAGTGCAGCGTGAACAGCTCTCCCTGCAAAGGCACATACTGAAATCTCATTACCAATTCCCACCTTTAGAATGTGCTCCTGTATCACCTTGCTGTATGGAGGCACAGTAGCAGTTAACATATGGTGCAGGTTAAAAGAAACTTTAAGAGAAACACATTGGGAAGTTAGACCATAGTCAGCATCTAACAAATGATGGAGAGTGACTTACTTAGGTCGTTGTCCATCTTGAATGCAATGTCCAGCTGCATGATGAAAAGCATGAACTGGAACCAGGGGCTCATCTCCTTGCTGGGGAGGGGGATGTGCACGGCAAACACGATATCGTTGGCTTCAATCTGCCTGCTCACCGCCTCGTCGAAGTCTTTGAGCTTCTCGCAGTGGTTGAGTCCCCAGGGCATCAGCCACTTGGTTTTGTGGTGGTTTTTTCTTACATCAATGCACTTCACGGACGTGTAAGGAACAGCTGTAGTGGGACTGGGAGCTGCAAATGGAAGAGAATCACACTTTCAGCATCTTTAGATATCTTATATAGTAGTTTCCCCATCAAAATACGCAGCTCCCCATTCAACTATTTGAAGGTAATTTAAAACAAATGCATCAAATGATTCTCCTTCACAGCTCCCTGATCTTACAGTTAAGTAATTAAGTTTATTACGTCTACAGACATATTACTGACTTTGTAGTGGGATCAAATTAGGATTAGTCGAAGCAGTGGGAATCTGCCAGTTCAGTCTCAGATACCTCAGTTACACCAAAATCACGCAGGAAGTTACTGGCGTCTTTTTCTGTGCATACACTCTTCTAGTTTGCTCACTCAAGCAAGTCCAATTGCAAAGCATGCAGATATCACAAACCTAGACAGATGAACTAATCCTAGGCCTTGTGGTCCTGCAGAGCGGGGCAACGCTTACTGCAGTGATTCAAACCACGCACAGCTACATGTTTCCTTGGGCAGGAAGGCTTTTCTCACTGCCGAACCATGCAATTCTTTTTTTAAAAACACTAGGGGAATAAAAAGAGCTCCCAGCACTGATAAACTGGATATTGCTGCATTAATTCTTCTTTACTTACTTTCACGCCCACTAGTGATCTGACCTGGAGCATGCCAAGTGAAGAATTTGGTGCCATAACTGTGCCATCTTCCCCAGGACAACCTGGCCCTCCCCAGAGGGATGATGAGCCTCATGGCAGCGTGGCGCTAGCACTACTTCCACTTCACACTCCCTCTTTACGTGGAGGTACATCCTCATCCCAACGTAGCTCAAATTAGTAAGGTAAGCAAAACATCTTCAGAAAACCAAGATAAATGCAAACAGGTTTCTATCCTGTGAGGTTATCATCCACAGGCACCATCGCCAGTGGACCGTTCTCATGGATTTTTGCCATTGTTGCTGGAGGCAGCAGTGTCGTTTTGAAAGACTACCAGTACTTTTGCCGCTTCTCTAATCACACTGCTAGCGGAGCGGGTCCTTCCTCCATCACACAGCTGCTGAGGGAGCATGCTCAAACAAGGCATGCAAGTTAGCCTCAATCCTTGTTAAGGGAGAGAGCAGCACCACCACTCAGCATCTAACCCTGCCCAGGGCCATCACCCACACCTGCTGTCTGCAAACTTGCTGTGGGAGCCCTCTCAGCTTCGCCAAAACTCCCTACATGGAAAAGAGCAGGTAAGCTGGCTACCTCCGTGATGCTCCAAAGATCCTTGCTCGCCCACTGCTGCTAACTGTAGAGAAACATTTTGCATGAAGGTATTTCTTCCTTTTGCTGTAAGTTAGGTGTGAGCTAATGACTATTACAACCAAAGATTTGTGTCTCTTTTTCCCCTAGCCACAGAGTTTTTTTGAGATATTGGGAGAAAAGCAGCTGAATAGAGATCTGGGCTCTGAAACGCTCCCCAAATTCTGCACTGCCCCCATTATCACAGCAAGCGACGAGGCTTTGTGCATGTGCACAAGGTACACATTATCCTGATACAGTGAAAATGGGTAACATTCCAGATTAGATAATTGGAACTATGGAGGATTATACTGCTCGAGCTTTACATCGGTGAGGAAACAGTCAGAAACTCTGAAGTACAAACAGGGATGAAAGCAGAAAAGAAATGCATTCCACCTTGAGCCAGAATTTCAGCATAAAACACCTTCAAATCTGAGAGAAAGAAAAGGCTTTTAAAAACTCAAATATATTTCCAACATAGTTCTTCCATGCAAAGACTTCTTACGACAGCGGTTCTGCCCTGCTTCCAGTATCATTTGGGAAATAAATATTTTAATGCATCACAGAACCGGCAAACCAGGGAGGCAAGCAGAGCTGGAGACACTCCAGTTCCTCACCTCTCCAGTACGATCAGAAGGGCTTCCACGGGTCAGAAGGTCCAGCAACCAGAAGGTTGATAATTCCTCTGTCCCTTATGGATCTATTCCCTTTTTTGTCACAGAAAGAATTTTTTGCACAACAGCCAGCTCAACACTTTTTAACGCCCAATACATTTCACTGCAATTAAACCAGAACTGTCCTATTTTCTGAAGTATTACCAGGAAGGTACCATTGGACATGCTGTAATGAATTCCTTCCAGCTTCACAGGTTTTGGGAAGCAGATGGAGCAGGTTAACTCTTTCTTTTTAAGCTGTTAGAGAGTTTTATTTGATTTCTGTTTTCACTAGAATTTGAAGAAATTAAAGTTATGTAATACAAGTTTCTTGTGAAATGACATTTATGAAAAACCCCAAACTATCCAGCCCTTTTTAAAATGAAAATAGGGCTTGAAATTAATAAATTTAAGTGCAAACAATGTAAAAATGCTCTAATGCAAGTGATAGGCATTGAAATATTCCTATACTATGAGTTAAAACAGAAGTAGCGTATAGAATAACAGATATCCAGGCATGTAGAATAACAGATGACTTAACGTCAAAGTCTCCAGAGAAAAGATGCTGAGGTTGTCCTGTAAAATTGGGGATAAGCCGGCCAGCCCGCAGGCTCCTGCAGAAGGCTACTTTCACATTGCCACCATCCTCATTCTGACAGATGGCCCAGGACTTCCCAAACAGATCACAGCCCACTAAAAAACTCCAGCAGCAAGCAGTAACACCCTACCTACAAACTGCAAGTATGTCAATGAGAAAAAACAAACCCAAACTGAGCAACACCCACCCAGCCACCTCCAGCCCCGTCCGGGGCAGAGCCAGCTCAGGGTTCCCGAGCAGCGCGAGGTTTGGCCAGGCTCAGCACGCTGACATCCGCACGCGCTACACCCAGATGATTCAGACCTGGCTCCCTCGTCATTTGGACACAGCATCCCAACAGCAGCTCTATTGCTTTTTGGGATCCAAGCCAGGAACCCTGCGTAGCATCTTCACTAACGTGCCACCTCATTAGAAAGATGACATCTGCACTCCTTCCTACAGGCAGGGGAGAGATGACTCAACGTGCGAGTCAGGAGGAAGTTATTAAAAAGCAGTTGTTTATAAACTGCATTTTTTCAATTTTTTGACAGCAGTAAGTTTCTTCCAGCTGAAAAGTAGCAGTGATGCTGGCATAAATGGTCGGCTAAGCTTGAGCAGTAATGCTTCCAGATTCATACCTGCTCTCACTATCAATCCACAGCCTAAGTGCACCACAGATACGCATCACTGCTGCATCTCAAACCCTCGCTGCGTCCAGCAGGCATCCGGGAACCACAGAAAGCTCATACGTTACAGCAGCCCCACAAAGCACAAATCATTGATATGCCAGAAAGAAACAGCAAAATAGAATAAAATAAAGCATTCAACAAACAAACAAAAAAATCTAGCTGCAAATCCAGGATTACAGAATGCTTTAATGATGTGCCATAAGTGCATAAAACGGTGCAACGTTCCTTTATCATGCCGCAATGCAGAACCTAGTAACCGTGGCTAAAACTGCAGCTATAAGTGAACATTAGGAATATTGTTGTGAAATAAGCCAGACACTGAGGCCAAGCTCTCAGAGCTTTTTAACTTTGACAGATCTTTGCGTGATTCTAAAGTAGGCATTTCTGAATTAAGAGAGACATTGTTACTTCTACAGAGAAGACGAACGTTTCTTGCTTTGATGCAACTCATTATAGCCATAAATACATGTTTTTATCACTGACTGATTATGATTTTAAATACTTGGCATGCTAACACAAGTATCCCCTCTGCCAAAGTTACAGCTTTGAGGAGCAAGAGACAATTACTATATATATTCCTTGTCGGGAACTGCACACCAAACAAACGTCGGCACTTGGCTTGCATTACTTGTTTGGCTCCAGTCCCATTAAATTCAAGTGAGTGTTGAACCAAGTGGAAAAAAATGCTTTGTGAAACTGCAGCCAAGTCAACTAACAGTATTACAAAGTGCTATGCAAAACAAAGCTAGCATCGAGGGATTTCAGTTAAAACGTGGTGCCAAGCAGGCTGCTTTCAGTCATTCTGCCTGTGGGCTGGTAGATGGTTCAGCTTTATATATTAAATGATATATGTCAGCCTGTAAATAATTAAATAGCGGTTTGTGCATAATACAGTGGATAAGCCTCAGCCCATGTTCCAGTCTGCTCACTGTGATGAGAAGCACTGCCGTGATGCAGGTACCATTTGGAGGGGTCCGCAGGGTAACCAAGGAGCAGGGCTTTTATCAGGAGGGTTTTGCACAAGCTGGTCGGGAGCGTGGCTCTCCGGGAGCCATCTCAAACAGGAGCCAGCCCTGCGAGCTTGGGTTAGGGCTGCCCGGGGAGCCTCCGTGAAGGTGCCCTGGCTCCGGGGGCCGCGAGCAGGCATCGGGCAGAGACCCCTCACTCCAAGGGGTTCAACCTCAGCAGCACTGGATGCCGAAAGCTGTAGGCACGAAGCCAGCGGAGCTGCTAGCACTGTCAGTGGATACTTCCAACCCCCCTACTTAAGAGAAAAAACTTCCCGCAGACAAGTTTAGAGACAGGATGATTCACAGCAAACGCTTTCAGAGCAACAGCCATGATCTCCAAGGAGGCGGCGTGCCTGCGCCCGTGGGAAGCGGGCAGGTGACTGTCACCACCAGAGCCCTCCTTAGCTCCGATGGGACAAACCTTCATTAAATCTTCCTTAAAAACCCAGGCAAGCACAGACATGAAAATAAAACTAACAGAGTCTGAGCAACCTCTCTTTTGCAGTTCAGTGGTTTTCATACTAGTTTGGGGAGTGAATACAGTTTACCCTCTTTGAAGCTTGTTTGCGTATATGCTATAAACACACTTGCCTTAAAGGTATGCAGCAACCGGCTGGCACAGCCGGCCCATATGCTGCTGGGGAATGGGGAAGCCGCCCGCTCCATCTCCGCCAGAAGAGGCTTTGGAGGTGCCTGGCTCACTGCAAAAGCCCCAAGGTTATCCCAAATTACATGGGTCACAGCAGACCCTGCCGTTCCCTGCCACGGAAGCACGCTCCTTGCAGCAGCTTTAGCCAGTGAGCCTGCCGGGAAAGCCAGCTGCCTTCAGCAGTGTG